GCTTCAGTCTCCCAAAGTGCTGGGATTACAGGCATGAGCCACAGCACCCGGCCTAGTCCCAGTCTTTATTGGGTTCTCTTCACCTCCCCAGAGTCAAACAAGTGTCCATAATGTTTACAGAAGCAGGAGAGGGGCCTCCAGTCTTCAGCCCAGGGCCGTTTTTGTGCTGCCATCATTGTCTGAGCCCACATAATTACTAGAAGGGAGAAGATTAATTGCACCTGTCACAGGCACCTGCAGTCTGTTCCCAGGTGGAACTCCCGTGCCTAGTGCCTCACATCCTCATCTCTCCAGGTCCTGCCACCGACACCTGCTGCTTGTGGGATCCATAGATATTTGGCCCTTTCTCTGCAATTTGGAGAGATCTCCTCTCTCATGGTCTTCTTCTTTACAGAGTATCCCTCCAAGTTGCTCTGGCTTCAGGAAAACAACAGTCAGGAAGGCAGGCTGTCTACCAGTAACTTGAACTCACAGCACCTACAAATTAGTGTGTACCATGGGGCCCTCATATGTGCTTGGAGTGGGGCCGGGGAAAAGATGGAACACAAAATCTGAAGGAATAGATCCATTAATGGTCCTGTTTTCCTACTACCATTCATAAATGGCTAACATTATTCATTACTCTCTGCTCATGAAGATGATCAGATTTAATTCTCAAAACTTCACCATGTTTTAAAGGCCAGACAAGTGAGGGTCAGAGAGTTTGAGTAACTTTCCTGGTAACAGCAGAGCTGAGATTAGAACCCGAGTCTATGCTGTATTTTCTCTCCTGTGGGAGCACAGTGAGCTGCCAGCATAGGTTAGCTGCAGCATGAGTTCCCAGATAGCTCAATGAATTCATCCATGGAATACCGCTGCCCGGAGCTCTCCATCTGGTTGTCAGAGTGCATTTGCCAAGACTCAAGAACAACAGTGCTGCTTTGGGCATAATTAATGTTTAGACAATAACTGGTCAGCATGTTCAGCTGCTTCTTGAGGTCACTCCTGGGATAGGAAAATAGGACCCTGTATTGGCATAAACAGGATGTTTGTTTTCTTTGTGCTCTATCACTAGGCCATTGTCTTGGTCATGTAGAAGTTACACCAAATTGCTCAGGTGCAGATTCAGAAAGGGGGAGGATATGACCTGGCCTAGTTTTGTGCTGTTTAAAATAGAAAATGAATGAATCTGAAAATCCATTTCTGCTCAATATCATTCTTTGGTTAGTATTTTAATAAAGTCCTAAAAAAACATTTAAAAAGTCTTAGGTCAGTTTTGAAAACATATTGCATGGCCCATAAAGAATTTGTTTATGGGTTCAAAAGCTAATATAGTCACAAAATCAATAAATAGTTATTACAGCCCTAATACCTGCCACCTCCTGCCCACCTTCCCCCCTACCTCCGGGCATGATGGGTGATTCAAAGACAGACAGAGCTCTTGACTCAAGTTATTTATAATATGCTTCATAGTTTTCAAATGCTGTATACATCAGAATCATCTCTGAAGCTTGTCAAAGACGGGGCTGTCTGGGCCCGACTACAGACCCACTGAATCAAAATCTCAGGGAGTGGGCTGGGTTTCTTTATATGTATTTAACAAGCTCCTTATGTGATTCTGATACTCATCAGTTTTCAAGCCAGCCACATGGTTGATGTTGTTTTGGTAATATAAACTGTTACAATAGAAAACATCACAGGAAGTACATATAGGAGATATAGCGGCATATATATGTACGCTATTGAAATGTTCCTATAGGGCAGGCATGGTGGCTCATGCTTGTAATCCCAGCACTTTGGGAGGCTGAGGTAGGTGGATCACTTGAGGTCAGGACTTCGAGACCAGCCTGGCCAACATGGTGAAAACCCATCTCTACTAAACATACAAAATTTAGCCAGGTGTGGTGGTAGGCACCTGTAATCCTAACCACTCAGGAGGCTGAGGCAGGAGAATTGCTTGAACCCAGAAGGTGAAGGTCGCAGTGAACTGAGATCGCACCACTGCACTCCAGCCTGGGCAACAGAGGGAGACTCTGCCATAAAAGAGAGAGAGAGGGAGAGAGGCAGGGGGTTGGGGGAGAGAGAGACAGAGAGAGAAAGAAAGGAATCGCAGATAAAGAATATCTATTATTGTAAATAATAATAAATATTTGTTGAGTATCTATATGTATCAGGCTTTGTTAATTCATTCAACAAATATTGTTAAAAGCCTACTAGGGGCCAGGTATGGTACATGAGAAAATGAAACAAACAAAAGTTCCTACCCTCAAGGAATTTACAGGGGAACACCCACAATAAAACTAAATAAAACAGTTACATGAGGCAAGTGTCAGGGGGAGAAGTAACAAGTGTCATGGGGAGAAGTAACGCAGGAGGGGATCACAATTCAGAAGAGGGTGGGGCTGCTTGGGAGGCCGAGGCAGGAGAATTGCTTGAACCCGGGAGGCAGAGGTTGCAGTGAGCCAAGATTGCACCATCGCACTCCAACCTGGGCAACAAGAGCAAAACTCCATCCAAAAAAAACAAACAAAAAAAGAAGAGGGTCGGGGAAAGACTTGCGGGAGAGGAGGAGGTGGAATAGTTGGAGCACAACTATTCCAGGTTTGGGGAACAGTGCAAAGCCCTGAGCAGAGGAGGAGCATTCGAGAAACTGCAAGGAGGCCAGGGAGACACCAGCATATTGGTCAGGGAGGCAAGGAGTGGGCAGAGGTGTGGGTCTTGTTGGCCGCTGGAGGACTTTGGTTTTACTCTGAGTGAGATGGGAAGGGTTCTAAGTTTGGGAATGACACAGACTGACAAGCTTCAACAGGCTCATTCTGGCCAATGAGAATATGTTGCTGCGAGTTGGCAAGGCCGGAATCAGGAGGTCAGTTAAGAGGCCGCTGCAGTCATTCCTGGGAGAGATGATGAAGGGGCAGGGATGGGAACAGTGGATGTGCTGAGAAAACATGGCTTCCCGGTGTGCTCTGAAAACAGAGCCTGCAGTTTTGCTGACGGCTTGGATGTAGATTATGTGAAGGGACCACAACAGAAAGTTTTCCAAGGATGCTGAGTGTGACACTGGCTGTGCTTACTGTGTGCTTACTCTGGCCAGGTTTGATTCTGGGTGTGAGCCATCATTTGGTTCCAAGAAAATGATTATATTTTCATTTTTAAAATGCATCTTGTGAGATTAGGCAGTATTTGTCTTTCTGTGTCTGGCTTATTTCACTTCACAAAATACCCTCCAGATCCATCCATGTTGCCATAAATGACAGGATTTTGTTCCTTTTCACAGCTACATAGTATTCCATTGTGTTTATTTGCCACTTATCTATAGAATCTACGGAAGCTGATCTTATGGAAATAGAGAGTAGAACAGTAGTACCAGAGGCTGGGGAAGGTAGGTGGCGGGGGACAGGCAGAGGTTCAGCAACAAGTACCAAGTTACAGTTAGGAGGAGTCAGTTCTGGTGTTCTATTGCACAGTAGGGTGACTGTGGTTAGCAATGCTGTATATTTCAAAATAGCTCTAAGACAGAATTTTGAATGTTCTTACCACAAAGAAATCATAAAGCTATGAGGTGATGGATATGCTAAATATCCTGATTTGATTATTATACAATGTATACATGCGTGAAAACATCACACTACCCTATAAATATTATACATCGGTAAATTTTTTTTAATTAAACACATATTGTACACTTAACATTAGTGAATTTACTGGCTGAGCACAATGGCTCATGCCTGTAATCCTAATTTGGGAGGCTGAGGCCAGTGGATCATTGCATTTGGGAGTTCGAGACCAGCCTGGCCAACATGGTGAAACCCCTTCTCTACGAAAATACAAAAATTAGCTGGATGTCATGGCGCGTGCCTGTAATCCCAGCTACTCGGTGGGCTGAGGCAGGAGAATCACTTGAACCTGGGAGGTGGAGGTTACATTGAGCTGAGATCATGCCACTGCACTCCAGCCTGGGTGACAGAACAAGACTGTCTCAAAAAAAAAAGTAGTGAGCTTATTATAAGTACATAATACTTTAAAGAAAAAATCTCATTGTAAGGAGCAGTCAGAGAAGTTCTGACTGGCCGCCACAAGACTCTCTCTGGAATCTTGGTAAACAGGGACGGTACCCACAATGGTATTTCTTCCTGACACATAGGAGATCTTAGGGAAGCTGCTTTGGCCAACCAAAAGATAGGAGAGTGAATAGTATTTATTGTTCAGTTTAGTTTAAAGCACTTTTTTGTAAGTCCTCAAAAAATTTTTTCTAAGACTTATAGTGAAGGATATTACTATCCCCATTTGAGGGTTCAGGAATCTGAGATCTAGAAAGGATGAAAGATGTGGAAAGGATGAACTCTACTAGATCAAACCTTTGAATTTATGACTTCCTCCTCTCAGGTGAGTGGCCTGTTGTGTGGTGACTGGCCCTCAATCCAGGGAACAGAAGTATATTTATTTCTCTCTCTCTCTCTCTCTTTCTGTGTGTGTGCGTGCGTGCGTGTGTGTGTGTTTGTGCGCGTGTCCATGTGTGTGTGTGTGCGCACGAGCATGTGTGTGTGTGCGTGTGTGTCTATCTGTCTCATACTTGGGTTACTAAGTACAATGATCTTAGTAAAGGAATTTGGAACTGACTGTTCAAATCATTCAAACCTTCTATATAAATCAGGCCTCTTCTCTGCCTTCTGTTTGTGTTCATTTGGTCATTTTATTTCTGCATGGCAATTTTCACTGAGGAGTGGCATAGGAAAATAGAAAGATATGAAAGTCATTAGGTAGTGTAGAGAAGAACTTTAATAGAAGCCTCAGTGGAGAATGCAGATGTAATTAGCACTAAATGAAATTCTGAATTGCCGGTAGATTTCAGCTTACTTTACTCTTCAAATCCTTTGTTCCCTTAAAAATGTGAGTTCAATTATGCCAAGCACCTAGAGAGGCTGTGCTGCTTTTGTCCTGCTGAAGCCTTGTCTGCACCAGGGTGGCCGTGAGCAGGGCCTGGGCCAAGTAATAGAATTTAATGCATTTGTCTGTTTCAGTTTGCAGTGATGATCTCACCCACAAATTCAAAGGTTTCACTGTGATGAATGAAGCGGAGAGATACGAAGCTCTCAGACACTGCCGCTATGTAGATGAAGTAATCAGAAATGCTCCCTGGACACTCACGCCAGAGTTTCTGGAAAAACACAAGGTACTTGTCATTCTCTTGTATTCTCTAAGTAGAAAGAGTAGGGAGTCTGGTTCTGCAGCCAAGACTACAGAAAGCCCAAAGTCTCTCTCAATTCCTAAAGAAGTGACTTCAGGAAACTGTCATGTGGCATTGCTTGATGTGGCACCTTTCTTCTGCCCACGTCTGAGGACTGGTATCCTCTCACTTCTTTGAGTATGGGCCCTGAAGCTAGAACCCCCAGGTCCAAATCCTGCCTCTATCTCTTCCTCATTGTCAGACCTTCAACAAAATATCTAAGCATACTGTACTCGCTTACCTCAACTGTAAAATGGGATGATGTTGGCATCTTCCTTGTGAGCATGTTTTGAAGATCCAAGAGATAATCTTAGTTAACAGGTAGAATACTGGCTGGCCCATAGCAAGAGTGCCAAAAATGTCATTGTTGCCACCATCACCACCGTCATTGTTGATGCTTATCGATTCACAGGCATTCTTTTTCATGGAATAAATGAACACACATCTTATCCAGAAAGTCACAGGTCAGCCTTCAAAGAAAGTACTTTATGATTTTGTGACCCTGAGAATCCTACTGACATAAGATTTTTATTAGTTGAAAACATGAGAAATTCTTTTGATCTGCATCAAATTATGTGCTTTGCATCTCCCACCAGCCCACATTAGGAGCTATTCTTTCCTTTTATAAGCAGTACAAAAATAAGATTAAGCTGTTCTAAGAATTTTCTTTTCTATTTTTAAAGCCACGATGCAGAAGAGAATAGAGACACTGATAAATGTGCATGAGTAATAGCGAGGAGACAATTTCCCAGTGAGAATCAAAAGAAAAAGGAAAAACTACAATATGATTTACTTCCAGTAATCACTACCACATTTTTTACTAAGCATCTATTGTATATTCAACATGTGCTAGGCATTATGGGGGATACTTATAATGATAATGATGCCCTGTAATTTATTGAGTATTTACCATGTGCCCGGCACTGTGCTAAGGGCTTTGTCATTATATGAATTGAATTCAATCTCACAGCTACCCTGAGAAGTTGTTATTATACATTGGAGAGGAAGAGGAACTAAGGTTGAGTACTAAGAATAGAATTAATAATAATAATAATAATAAACACTGATTGAGGATTTACTCCGCACTAATTATTTTTAAGCATTTTTACATAATCATATCATTTAATCCAGTGATTCTCAGCTGGGGTGAGATTGCCCTGAGTAACATTTGGGAATGTCTTGAGACATTTGGGGTTATCACAGCTAGAGGGGTACTGCTGGCATCTAGTGGGTAAAAGCCAGGGATGTTGCTAAGCATGTGCCAATGCACAGGACAATTCCCAACACCAAAGAATTCTCCAGTCCCGAATGTCACTAGTACTGAGCTTCAGAAATCCTGAGGGAATCATTTCTCCCAACTTATGAGTTATATAGCTAGTAAGTAGTGGGACAGGGAATCATACTACTCTAAACTACCTCCCAAGTATTTAACTACTACTACTCTCAATTACCTCTCAAGGTAGATCAAAATCCCGTTATAAAGGGCTTTAAAATCTAGGCAAGGAGGGTTTACTTGATGTTGCAGGAAACAGGGATAAAGATGAAGATGACCAGAAAAAAAAAACCTGTTTAAGGAGAAGACCCCATGTGACAGCAGGATGACTTGGAGAGGAGGGAGCCTACAGCAAGGAAGGCCAGATACAAGTTGGTGTCAGTAATCTGGGTGACCAGGTCCTGGGTTTGGTGTAGTTGCAATGGAGAGAAAATGATGGGCACACACCTCTATATGCATGTGTGCACAAACACACACACACATCCCCCAGTGGAACCTATCATGAGTGAAATAAGTAAAGGAAGAAGGCTTATTCCAAGGTTTGGGTCTTCCCAAGACTCAAAATAAATAAAATAGAATAAAAGTGCTATTGGAAGGGGTCACTTGTTTACAGGAAGATGAATTAAATTCAGGACAGGATGATTTAAAGTGACAGCAAGATGTGGTAAAAGAGAGGGCTGCAGTGGGAGTTAAGAACACCCAGCTGGGTGCCCTGGTGGCCTATTAAACCTGGCCCAGTGCCCCGGAGGCTCACTGCAGTCTTTAAGCCTCAGGCAAATCTAACAAATTTTCTAGTTTCAGCACCTTATGTCCCAACTGAAGTAGTAGCATGTGGCCTGCCCACCTCACAAAGTGGTTATGAGGATCAAGTAGGGAGACAAATTCCTTTTTATAGTATAAAATGTGATCTAAATGTGAGGGCCCATTGCCATCAGTAGGACAGGAAATGAAGATTTGGGTTCCTCATCATAGCAGGGATGATAAACATTCAAAGAATGAATGGGTTCTCTCAAGGAGAAACTTCAGATTCAGAAGGACAGAAAGCCAAGAAAACCTACTCTCAGAGGTAGGAGAAGAAAGAGGGATCAGCAAAGGAGAGAAAGCAAAACATTTATTCTTCTAGTTCCCATTATCTCACAGAAATGGAAATAGTTGGAAATACACTTCAGCCAAGGATTCAGATCTCCACTATAAATGTAACATACAACTGCCTTATTTTGAAGAGGCATTTTGGAGTCACCATTCCCCTCTTCAAATCTGCAGACATGCACATCCATCCTGGTGGTGATATCACTCTTCTCTCTCTTCAACAGATTGACTTTGTGGCTCATGATGACATTCCGTATTCCTCTGCTGGCTCTGATGATGTTTACAAGCACATAAAGGAAGCAGGTGAGGCATTCCCCTGTGCCCACCTGTCCACCACATCACAATAATCAGGTGTAATAAGAGATATCTGCCCTGAGACATCTGCAGTATATACAAACAGGGAGTTACAATTTTATGTGACCCCAAACAGCTTCTACAAGCCATTGTTAACATGTCCTAGGCTCAGTCATGGCACAGATACCAGCTAGGTATTTATATAGGAATGAACCTGAGCACCAAAGTGCTCAATTTCAGGCCTGAGGCTCGATTTCAGGGCTCATCAAATGAAAATGGCAGGACCCCATTGCTTAAAGGCAATGCTTTCCCCATTCATAATTAAGTCTTCACAATGAAATTATTGTATACTCCCAAGAAATTTCCTTCTAGAAGATAGATAGATAACTGACTAGTTAATGATCTAGACTCCTTGTCTCCAAAATTGGTCCTGCCATATTTCTAGTGTCATCTTGTCACATGTTAGTAATATTATCAGGTACCACATGTGGAAGCAAAAAAATGGATGAGTGTTTTAATGGCTTGGCTTATTTTCTGCTATTTTTTTAATCTACCATGCGTCTCATCTATAGGCACTGTAGGTACGCCCATGCATACCTTCCTACATACATTCAACCATTATCGGCAGGTGCAGGTACTATAGAGAGTTACCATATGTGTAGGGTTTCCAGAAGTCTAATGCTCCCTGCATTATACTAGAGCCATTGTTGACATGTGCCATCAGAGGCATCTTCCCCACTCCTGGGGACCAATGAGACTCCACTCAGCTTGCTCCCATTATTTCCTACTCAGCCCGCTGCTGCTACAGCCTTTTCCTGGTACTCATGAACCTTCAGATTCTTGAGGTAGGATGGGCTCCTAGGGGTCACTGACCCAGGCTCCCATCCCTTCTTGGCATCATTGCTAGCTCCTGGCAGAAGTGATGCTTTTACATTTCCCATGATGGGAAACTCCCTGCTTTCTAAGGCAGCCTGCTCCCTCTTTGGATGGTTTTGGCTGTCATTGTTTAATATATGAATCCCCTGAGTGCATCTATAAGCCAGGAATTGTATGAGAGAAAATGAATAAGACATAGACCTCACCTTGAGAGAGAGCAGAGATAGACATAAATAATTACCCCAAATATAACCAGCCTGTGGCAGAGTGTATACAGCAGGCAAGGGTGGTGTGTCTGAAGGTGGGACTGTATGAAGAAGCAGAGCATATCTGGAGAAAATAAACATGTTAATGTAGTGTAGGGTGTGTGGAGGTGGGAGGCGGAGATGGAGACTAGCAGGATGAGGCTTGCTTTCATATGTTGGTATATGGGACCTAATCCTGCTCTGAGGCAGGAGAGTGCCATGATCAGGACTTTTGTGTGGGAAGGAGCAACTGGGGGGCCATAAGTGGTTTCCGTAACTAAACTTAATTAGGAACTCCCATTTCCACAGCTGACAGAAGAAAAAATAACTTGACATGTGAAGTCATTCAGACTCTTCTAGGTTTGTACTTAGAATGTATAGAGTCAACTTTTTTGCCTTTTTCTCTTGAGGTGATCTATGTTTCTGGCACACTCTGGCCTGGCATGGGATGGGGAACTTAAGTTGTGAGATCTCAAGACCTGCTCAGCCATCAACCCCACCTACCAGACCCCTGTGGCAGCCTCTGAGACTCTGTCACCTCCCCGCTTTGGCCTGTCCCGGCCACAGCCTCTGATGCAGGATTCCCTTCCCTGTGCTATAGGTGTGCTGCCCAGCAGTCATGCTGATCTTAAATCTTGGCTTCCTTCCATGTTCTTCTAGAGAGTCCCCAGGAAAATTTTAAAGAAATGTCCTCCATAATCTCCTAGAGGGCAAGGGAACTGGGCAATGGGAGTAAGCCATGTCAGGCTCTGTCTGACCTGCCTGCCACGTTGGCCTCTGTAAAACTATTTCCTTGCAAAATTCCTGGCAGCACAAGGTGCCAGTGGCCCTGCATTAAGCTTTCTAAAGGGGTCTCTTCCCTGCCCCTGGCCCTGGGATTTGAACCTGAGTCAGACCAAGAGACAGACCCCACTCCTGTTCTCTCACTTCTGCTGTCTGCCTCCCGATCCCTCTCTACACTCCTTCCCTCAACCCCCAGAGGTGTTTTCTTCATCCTGGAAGGCTGAAAACTGCCCCTTAATTAATTTCATGCCAGTATTAATTTACACTCCAGGGCTTATAGTCAAACATTCTGCACCCTGAGTCTACTCAGTCTCTGTTTCTTAATAGTTCAAAAGACACTTCTGGGATTTAGAACACCCTTTTTATACTCCTCAAAGCCTGGCTCTTCCTAGTGAAATTATTGCCTTTCTTAATTCTTCTTTTTAAATGAGCCTTAAAGAGAACCTGTTTTAGAAGTTGAAGGCTGAACACGATCTCCTGAACTCTCAGCTACATCTGCCTCCCCCTGAAGTGATCGAGGTCTCAGTGTCTGCGGGAACAGGGCCTCAGGACAGACATGATCCCTAGAAATGAAAACAACATTGGATGCTAGTTTGAAAAATTATTGTTATGTAGAATGTATGTATTCTCCCTGATGGCATTTTTGTTGGTTCACACTCCTTGGGGGCCAGCCTGGGAAGCTCCATGCCATTTCCTGCAGGGGTGGTGGTAGGGACTGTACCATCCTCTTAGGGAGGACTTCATCAGAAGTCAAGATCATTGGATAAGAACGGGAGGCCTGACATTCTCAAGTCTCAATCTTGTTTGTGAGGAGTTCCAAGGAAGGAAACCTCATACACTTCGGACTTGGAATTCTGCTCTGGAACTGGAGAAGAAATTGGCAGATGCCTCAGTTACATCAAGATGGATTATGGCATGGCATGATTAATATTTATTTATTTACTTACTTTACTTAATTTATGAGACAAGGTCTCACTCTGTCACTCAAGCTGGAGTATAGTGGTGTAATCATAGCTCTCTGCAACCTCAACTTTCTGGGCTTCGGTGATCCTCCCACCTCAGCCTCTCAAGTAGCTGGGACTACAGGCACACACCACCATGACCAGCAAATTAAATTTTTTTTTGTAGAGATGGGGTCTCCCTATGTTACCCAGACTCATCTCAAACTCCTGGGCTCAAGTGATCCTCTCGCCTCAGCCTCTCAAAGTGCTGGGATTACAGGTGTGAGTCACCATGCCTGGCTTGATTAATACCCTTTAAAGTTGTTGTAAGATGTGAGCTATGTATGAGCCAGCTGCTCCTTTCCTAAAATTTCCATAAGTATTTGTTATAGACCAGTGCTTATGAAACTTAGATATGCCTACAGATCATCTGTGGAATCTTGTGAAAATTCAGATTCAGATTCAGATTCAATTGGTCTGGTGGGGCCAGAGATTCCCATTTCTAGTAAGCTCTCAGGTTGTTAGATGCTGTAGTTCCATAGGCCTCATTTAAAGTAGCAAGGTTCTGGACCAGACATTCTCATCCAGCTGAGTTATCCCCAGGGTTTCTTGAATCAGTGTTTCCTGGGGGTGATAGTTCCTTGGCTACCTTATAGTCTATAGAAATAAGCATTTGGTGGCAGTTTTCTTTCTGGGTGAGTGGCCATCAGTGAGCTAAGAATATGTTGCTTTCCTGATCTGGGGAGTAAAATGTCAAGTTCCAGTTGTTTAGGTGTAGGAACCAGGTCCAGCATTTTCCTAACTCTAGCAATCCAGCATCCCTATTGGTGCATGAGAAAGTGACTCCCAAAGTTAGTGACTTAAAAGAGCCACTTGATTTCACTCATGACTTTGTGGGGCAGGATTTTAGCAGAGGCCTGGCTGAGTAGTTCTTGCTTGGGTTGTCTCAAACAGTCGTAGTCAGATATTGGTTGAGGCTGCAGTCATCTGAAGGCTTGACTGGGCTGGGGTCCGAGGTGGTATGCTTATGTGGCTGACCTGGATGCTGTCTATGATCATGGAGTTCAGTTGCAATTGTCACTGGGGCACACAGTTGGACTCTTCATGTTGCTTGGCTTTCTCATAGCATGGCAGCTGAAAGGCAATATCTAGAGAGAAAGCAATCTTGACAGAAGCTACAAGGCTTCTTCTGACTTAGTCTTGGAAGTCACACAGAGTCCCTTTTGCCACATTCATTTGGTACAAGCAAGTCACTGAGGCCAGCCCAGATTCCAGGGGAAGGGAATTGTGCCCATCTTTAATCCACCACAGTGCCCTTTCCAAATTGAATAGTCAGGTGGTATTTTACTTGCCCTGGTAGTACAGGGTAAGAATCAGTGTGACTTTTCCTATGTGCAAGGACCCTTCCTTGTGCTGCATCAAATCTGCTCTCCTGATTCCTTAGCGCAAGGGAAAATCACAGTAACAATCTATTTGGGACCCAGGTAGAGAAGGCCACAGTTCATCATGGGAGAAAGATGCTGAGAAATGGCCTCAGAATCCATATTTGGCTCTCATACTCAAATTGTGGCTTATTTAGAAAGTCAAAAGTCTCTTTAAATGAAGCCAGAGATACCAAGGGCATGAATTAAGCTTTACAACGTTCTGCTCTGCTTGTCAGAACTATGTGTCAAAATCCTCTAACAAAGCTGGATGAAAAGATGGAGCTTAAATTAAATAGACTGTAAGGTCCACATTACTCATCACCATTCTAATATTGCCTACTACTGTTGAAAGTTTCCTTCATTAACATGTGCTTTGCTGCTTCTTAAAATAGCTCCATAACCAAATGCCGCAATTCTGAAAAGCATGATAAAAAAGGTTCTCTGATCATGCTCATTACCGAATATTTTTAGCAGAGCAATAATTAGGATTTGAAGGAAGCCGGGTACCTCATTATGTCAACAGAGGGCTTGGCTTCTTTCAGAGACCTACCTCCCAACCAGCCAAAGCAAATCTCTCCCTAAGCCAAATCTACTTTCAGTTACTCAGAGACCTCACCTTCTGGCTTCAAAGAAAGGGTAAGCTCCTGGCATCGATGTCTTACATGACTTGCTAAAATCCATTAGTCACTAGAGAATCGTCTTATTATTTCAGCAGGAGGGGTGTGAGTAAAATATCTGCCTGCTGAAAGATGGGATGGATTTCTCACAAGAATGTTCCCCACTGTTCCCACAAAGGTGAGGATGTCATCTGAGGGTTCTCCCACCCACAAGAACCTCCTGCACAGCTGGTTCCGTTTGGGTGATACTTATATTCATGTGTTTAGATGTTTACATCTTCTGCCTTCCATTTGGTTGTCCATGTTAGATTCTTCTCTATTAGAAGGTGATAAAAGAAGTGTTTGGCCTAGGGACAAACCCCAACTGTCCTCTGACCATGGAACATAAGAAACTGGATGTTTTGTCTCAATATCATCAGCGCAATCTCCTACTGATACATAAATGTGCAAATGACATCAAAAGAAGGCTCCAAAGGGACACCCTCATTGGAGCTGCAAAATGGAAACATTCAGAGAGAACTGGATTTGGAAGGGTACTTACAGATCAATATTCATCTAGTCATTCATTCAACAAACATTCCTATGGTGTCTGTCTGTTACCCAGTGCTGAGAATGTAGAAGAGGGAGAGAAAGGTCCCTTCTCTTGTGTAGCTTATAGTTATGTGGGGAAGATGGTTGTTGACAAAGTTATTTTATAAAGATCTTGCTGCATTTGGAGGGAAGGGGAGTGGTCCATGGGAAGGAAAAACACACAGGAAGACCTAGTCTGAGAATTGAGATATTTGCTTGAGGAAGTGACACTAAAGCTGAAGCCCAGTGGATGCCCAAGAGTTAACCAGGTAGAGACTATATCTGTGGCAGAGTGAGGGGAAGGGAGCCAGCTCTTTCAGGACACTGAAGAAATCCATCATGGCTAGGCTGAGGCAGGGTCAGCCTACTGCCCAGCTCTACAGAATACAACAGCAGTCCACCCTGCAGTTCTATAGCATGCAGGCCTTGGTAGAGGGAGTGAAGGGGAGAGGGTCTGAGATGAAATTGGAGAGAAGCGCAGGGAAGAGACCACGCAAACTGCTTCAGAGCCAAGTTAAGGATTTGACTCTGAATCCAGAGAACAGCAGAAAGCCAGTGGAGGGTTTTGAGCAGACGTCTGACTTGCATTTAGTAAAAATGCTCTGTTGATCTTGCTCTTTGCATTGAGGCAGACAAAAGTGACAATGCTGGAGACTGGTCTTAAGGTTCTTGCTGTGATCTTTGACCAAGATTTTGTTTAATTGGTTTAGGATGGAGGAAAGTGCGTGAATTAGGAAAACATTTAAGAAGTAGATTGGGAACTCAGTTGGATGTGGGGAGTGAGAGAGAAGGAAATGGTACAGATGAGTCCCAGGTCATCATGTCCAATCACCTTTTTCTTAGCTGAGGAGATTATAGTTAAGTAACTTGCCTTCAGAGGGTTTGAGTGACTTGCCCACGTCTGTAAACTGAGAACCCAATGCCCTTGTCCCCAGGCTCTGTCCATCATACTGTCCCATGCCTGATGCGTCTGTCTGAGTGGCTGTAATGATATGGGGTAGAAAGATCCCAGTTGCCAACAATATGTCATTGCAGTTTACAACAGAAGTGTGAGCATAAACCTGATTCTTGTCTTTGTTAATATTTGTGACCTCTTTGTAGCCCTTTATTTGTTGATATATCCACATTTATCTCTGAAGACTTTAAGGAAGTTCCATTAGAACTTGGCATCCTCTGTGCTTGTTTACTTTTACTCAGTCCCACATATTCTAGACGAAAGCGCCTTTGGTGAAACTACCATGTATAGTAGACTGTTCTTAGGAAGATAAATCATCTAACCATCCCTCCAGGCATGCCTTTAGATCAGAGATGACACAGATAGTACACTTTTCTTCTTTTCTTTCAGTATGATGGGGATGAAATTTCCATTATTCGGTTCCCATCGGATGAAGCAGAGTTGCTGTGATCTTACTAATTCATTGTCTCCGTTGTTAGTCTTGATTTAATTTCTCACTCAATTTGCATTTACTGAGCAATTTCCATGTGCTAGACACAGGGGCTGATCTGGGTGCTGGGGATTCAAAGACAATTAAGGTGTTATCGGTGCTTTCAAAATGTTCGTTTGCCATGTGGAGACAAATATTTAATTTTTTTTTTTTTTTTGAGACAGGGTCAGGCTAGAGTGCGGTAGCACAGTCGCTGTTTACTGCAGCCTTGACCTTGGACTCAAGTGATCCTCCCACCTCAATCTCCCAAGTAGCTGGGACCACAGGCGTGCGCTACCACACCCAGCTAATTTTTTATGTTTTGTAAAGACTGGGTTTTGCCATGTTGCTCAGGCTGGTCTCGAACTCCTGGACTCAAATGATCTATCTGCCTCGGCTTTCTAAAGTACTGGGATTATAGGTATGAGCCACCATGCCTGGTGCAGTGTTTTTGTTAATGAAAGGTAAGTTAGGTTCTGAATGTTGTGGTTCTGCCTGGTGATGTCAGAAAAGACTTCCCAGAGGCATAACCTTGAAGCTGGACTTTGCAGGATGAGGAAGAGCTTTGCAGTACTATGAGCAGGGAAGGGGTATCCAGGGCAGAAAGGAAAGGCTCAGCATGGGCAAACAGTGGGGGCCAGCAAGTACATGGTGCATCCTAGAAACAGGTCTGAGATGATCAACATGTAGCTTTTAAGGTAGGGGGAAATTCTATAGCACTGAGGCCGGAAGAGTCACTTGGGGCCAGACATAAAGGGATCATTGGCATACCCAGGAGCTCCAACGTTGTCCTAGAAAGCGGGACATTAAAGGAGATGGGTTAACTGAGGCGATCTTAATTTTTCTTCTGTCTGCTCTTTTCTACTTGAACAGGGATGTTGTTCCAACACAGAGAACAGAAGGCATCTCAACATCGGACATCATTACCAGAATTGTTCGTGACTATGATGTTTATGCACGACGCAACCTCCAGAGAGGGTATACGGCCAAGGAACTGAATGTCAGCTTTATAAATGTAAGCATGCCACCTCAAACTCTCTGAAGACCACCACCATGTCACACCACCACTGCTGCTGTTTATTGAGCACTTACTAAGTGATATGCAGTGTTCTTTTTTTTTTTTGGTAGAGATGGGGTCTTACTATGTATAATATTTTAAGTTTGATTTAGCTCGTTTTTTTTTTTTTTTTTTTTTTTTTTTGAGGCAGAGTCTCACTATGTTGTCCAGACTGGTCTTGAACTCCTCGGTTCAAGTGAGCCTCCTGCCTCAGCCTTCTGAGTAGCTGGGATTACAGGCATTTGCCATCATGCCTGTGCAGTGTCCTTAATGCTTTGTATTTATTGTCTCATTTAACCCACACAATAACCATGATGTATTATTATCCCCCATTTTACAGATGACCAAACCAGTGTCCACAGGGGGTAACATAAATTTACCAAAGAACACAGGTTGGTGAGCTTCATATCTTATAAAGGTGCTTCCTGTTCCCCTCCTCTTACCCCAAACTCTCTCTTTAGAGTTTTTAGACTTGGTTTGAAGGGTTTCTTGGAGAGCTGCCCCTTATAAAAGGCAAGAGTTGTCTTCTGCTGAAAGTAAAGGGAGGAAGGCAGAAGCAATGAAAAGCTAAACCCAGATAAACTTTTTTGTTCTAATGTTTAAAAAATTTCATTTGATTAAGGCCTTAAAGATGCTCATTAGAAACCTTAATGGCCATTTTTATTGTCCAAAGAAATTACAGCTGCTTAAATAAAGCCTAAAGCTTTTGGCTTCCTTTTGTAGTTCTACCATATTGTTCCCACAGAGCTGCTGTTAGTTCAATAACAGAGCAATGTTAAAACAATCTTTAAGTTCTGGGATACATGTGCAGAACGTGCAGGTTTGTTACATAGGTATACATGTGCCATGGTGGTTTATTGCACCTATCTACCCGTCATCTACATTAGGTATTTCTCCTGAAGCTATCCCTCCCCTAGCTCCCTACCCCCAAACAGGCCCTGGTGTGTGATGTTCCCCTCCCTGTGTCCACGTGTTCTCATTGTTCAATTCCCACTATGAGTGAGAACATGCAATGTTTGGTTTTTCTGTTCTTGTGTCAGTTTGCTGAGAATGATGGTTTCCAGCTTTATCCATGTCCATGCAAAGGACATAAACTCATCCTTTTTTATGGCTGCATAGTATTCCATGGTGTATAGGTGCCACTGTTTTCTTTATCCAGTCTATCATTGATGGACATTTGGTTTGGTTCCAAGTCTTTGCTATTGTGAATGATGCTGCAATAAACATACATGTGCTTGTGTCTTTATAGTAGACAAAGAATATTAACAGTGAGTTAGATTCCCTCAGGATGCTGTTTTTTATATAATAATAATAACAATAAATTTAAACAAGCAAAATAAGCTGTTATAAAGCAAAGAAGGCAGCCCATTTGCTGGAGGTGATGTTAGTGGTCTGAACAACTATATTTGCCTGTCCTCTGAGGGGCTGGTATCTTTGATTAAATGAGAACCCTCCATACATACAGAATTCCAACTCCCACAGTAGATGCTTCGTTTTCAAAGGGTGATTCATCTTCAAAAGTAGATACTTAAAATTACATGCAGCCATAATTATCCAATAGCTCACACGATTGATCACTGGTACCTTCAATATAGGAGGGGCTCATTAATTGTGAATCGATGATCATGAATTGTCCTTACAAGGCAGGGAGCATTGAGAGTTTAGGCTCTGTGACTTCATATAAGCCGGGCAACAAAATGTTGAGAAGTGTCAGAAAATGTCGGGTTTGAGTGGCACCAGAACAAGTGGCTGAACATAATTCAGTCAAAGTGATTATTTAGTATCTGATAGAGAATAAAGCCCTGGTTATTTCAATAAATTAAACTGTCTGTTCTTTTAAATTGAATTCGGTCAACCATCCAGCATGTCAAGCCATTTCCAAAAGTTATTGCTCACTGTCTTTTAAACATCGTTTAGATAAGCCACTTAGCTCAAGGAACCGTGCAGGCAGTTCAGATGCACTCGCTGCCTTCCTGTGACGGCAAACCTGGCTGCAGCTCAGAGATGAAATTTAATGTATGCATGGGCACGTAGATGAATCATGGAACCTCAAAGATGACAGGGACCTGCTGCCAGTCAGTCACCCAGTCCAAGTCCCTCAATTTAGAGATGAGGAAAGCTGAGCCCAGAAAGGGTGCCTGGCCAAGGTCCTTCAGGTCAGGGAGAGGTAGAGGCAGCAGCAACTTCCCAGTCTCATGACTCCCAGCCCAGTGCTCATTCAGCTATTCTGTGCTGGCCTGAGAGCATATGTAGTAACTATTTCCAGTGCAGAATAAATGTGGAAAATAGTGATATAAGTGTTTTACTTGGATTACCTCATTTAATCCTCATCATGAGCCTACAAGGTGGGTGTGATGACTGTGTCCAACATAGAGATGAGGAAACAGTTCCAGAGAGGTTGAACCACCACCTAAGGTCACATAGTAAGTCATGGAAGACAGAATGACCTCCCATAGCATATATATGTGTGTGTATATGTATCAGTGGCAACACATATAGCTTCAAAAATTCTGAAACACAGGCCAGGCCCGGTGGCTCATGCCTGTAATCCCAGCACTTTGGGAGTCCGAGGCAAGTGGATCACTTGAGGTCAGGAGATCAAGACCAGCCTGTCCAACATGGTGAACCCAGAACCCTACTAAAATACAAAAAATTAGCTGGGTATGGTGGTGCTTGCCTATTATATCAGCTACTCAGGAGGCTGAGGCATGAGAATCGCTTGAATCTGAGAGGCAGAAGTTGCAGTGAGCTGAGATTGTGCCTTTGCACTCCAGCCTGGGGAGCAGAGTAAGAATCCATCTCAAAAAAATTCTGAAACACAAAATGAACTTTAGTCCCACATAGTAAAGAAAAACGATAAGCCTTCCTGCCCCTTTACGAGAAACCATCATGATTTCATGAAGAGCCTTTGTCTCATGTTATTTTCGTGGTTTTAATACTGCTCTCATCAGGTAAGAAAGACAAATGCCTCTACCACTTAATACTAATGAAACAACCAACACACACTGAGCATTAGTAAATACTGGGCTTTGTGCTAAGCACTTTGCATGCATTGTCACAGCAACTCTAAGGTAGGGATGATTATTATCCCCATTTTCAGATGAGAAAACTGAGGTTTAGAGGTGACATGTGACTTGCCCAGCATATGATGGCTTCCAAGCACATAAGTAGACATTGCTGCAGAAAGACTTATAAGAAGAACAAAATCTGAGTCTAGAGAAACTATCAGCACAAAAGCTTTCATCACCACCAAGGAAATCAATACAGTTGAATTAACGTAGTGGAAAATATCATTACAGTGGAAATTTTAGTAACACACAAGTTCCAAGGCCCAGTCAATGGCCCACTTATTTCAAGCAATATGTTTTTAACCATATCCCAGTAAAACAGAGAACTCAGGGAGCTTCTGAACAGTCACTGTGCATAATTCATACTTTCATCTAAGTCCTGGCAGAATTGAATGGGGTTATATGCCAATATCTACCCAGAACAGAAGACAGCTGTGTGTTTTTAGTCTCCTCTTATATAAGTGAATCCAACTCAAAGACATTTAAAAGAAAGAAGATATTAAAACCACTGGTGCTTCCCTTTATATATCCAAATGGATTAATGGCAGATGACTTTTCTTGCAAGACATGTGCCCTCCTATCAACCTAGCTCTTGGGAAATGGTAACATCTTGACTCTTTAGGTTGGGAACAAATACAAATTGAAATAAAACACGAACTTTAATGTGAATGATTGATCCCCCTCATGTCCTCTTGGATAAATCTGTTTTTTTTTTTCTGTAAACTTTTACCAGGAGAAGAGGTACCGTTTCCAGAACCAGGTGGACAAAATGAAGGAAAAAGTCAAGAATGTGGAGGAAAGGTCAAAGGAATTTGTGAACAGAGTGGAAGAAAAGAGCCATGATCTAATTCAAAGTGGGAAGAGAAGTCAAGGGAATTTATTGGCAACTTCCTAGAATTGTTTGGACCTGATGGAGCATGGGTATGTAATTATTTCACTTGATCCCACAATGGTGAGTGTTTTCAGTTTATTGTCCTTTTTATGGAGCCACTCGAGGGTGCCTCTTATCTCATTTCCACTACGTGCCCTCTGCTTTGGGCGTCAGCCTGAATGATGTAAAGTCCGTGTCACTTCCTTATTGAGTTTCTGCTTTACCCATCAATATGGCACCCAGCAGCACCCAAACCCAGGTCTGGTCTCAGTTTCTATTTCTTATCCAGAGCTTGTAAGCCATAAGCCATTTGGGTGATCATTGAGTGTCTATTACTTCATGTATTAATGCTGTCACTCATCTCAGTCTCCCAGTTGGAGATGATGAAAGTTCGGGAGTACAGGTGAAGTGGGTTAGTGGCAGCATGGAGCTTGTGTTACAAGACATGGATGATGAGCTCTTGGATCAACTACTGGCATTTATGTTTTGGGGAGGAGAATCCAAAGAAATGTAATACATCAGTCAGTTTTTGTCAGGAGCCCTCCTCTTTTACTGGTTGGAAGAGAGAGAGAAGCAGTAGGAATTTGTCCCACATCTGTGCCCATCGTGCCCTGATTTTCCCCTGGTTTTTCATGGCATGCAAGTGTTGGGATAAGGCACAACAGTCTTTGGGGACTGAGGCCATGATCTGAATCTTAAAACTGAGAGGGAATGTAGAGTGTCTCCTTGCCTAAAATCTGTAGACAACACTGAATGATAACTATGAAAAGGGAAAAGAAAATGCTGGAAACCTTCATTGGCACTTTATTGGTATTTCTGTTGCGCATGCCCTTCCCAAGTAAATATGAGTATTGTCACGAGAGTTGACGAGTGGTCTGTAAAAGAGATACCGAAAGTTTACTTTAGAGATGCTAAAGGGTCGATGAGGGTTGTATGAAAGAGATACTAAAAATGAACTTTCCTTCTACAGCAAAAAGAAATAATTCCATTTGATTTCTCTGATTTTAAGTAGCCTGGATTCCCTATTATAATATGAGATATCGCTAACAAAATCCACTTTGACTTAATTATTTATTGATGGGTTGTTACTGCTACCACTGCTTGTTTGAGCTCATTCATTATAGGATTATCTAAAAGTGACACACTCAATTAGTATTAGAAAAGGAACAATGTTTGGGAAGTTGGGACAGATGCTTTGGTTAACACCTGGTGTCCTCTAAGTGATTATTTATAGAAGTGGGTGTTATAGGCTAACCATGTCCTATCGGCTGAGTCTGAGATGGGTAGAAAGTTTAGAAGGGCTGCATGAGCCCTCAGTGACTCCTAGAAGGAGCTGGCAAGGGTAGAAGAGCCAAGGGCTGGGCTCGTTTTCATTTTCCCCAGGCCTGTTAAAACTTTGAGCTCAGATCATTTAATTCCTGGTACATTTCTTAATGTTCTTATCTGTGCACAGCACTATGGAAGAACGTAAGGACAGACAAAGTACAGAACCTGTTCTCTGGTCTCTATGACATATGGTCTGATATTTCTTATTTAGTCTCCTGTGTATTTTAATAGTTCACATTTTCACAACTAATTTTCAGGGTCTGAAAAAACAGCTAGTGGTTTTTAAGGAAACCATGTGGGTATTCATTTGTTTACAGGGACTCAGAAATGTGTCTCTGCTGATAAGAGCTGGTATAGTAACTCAAGGGGGTAGATGCTTTCTCCATTTGGAGTGAGTAAAGGCAGGAAAAAATATAATTTCACACTTTGGGAGGCTGAGGTGGGTGGATCACCTGAGGTCAGGAGTTTGAGGCCAGACTGGCCAACATGGCAAAACCCTGTCTCTACTAAAAATACAAAAAATTTAAAAAAAATAGCGGGCTGTGGTGGCATGTGCCTGTAGTCCCAGCTACTCAGGAGGCTGAAGCAGGAGAACTGCTTGAGCCCAGGAGGCGGAGGATGCAGTAAGTCCAGATCATGCCACTGCATTCCAGCCTGGGTGACAGAGCAAGACTCTGTCTCAAAAAATCTATATATATATCTGTGTGTGTATATATATGTATGTATAGGTGTGTATATATGTATATGTATGTGTGTATATATGTGTATGTGTGTGTATATATATGTATATGTGTGTATATGTATATATGTGTATATGCATGTGTATATTTGTGTATGTATATATGTGCATATACGTGTGTGTATATGCATGTGTATATGTGTATGTATGTCTATGTGTATATAGTGTACGTGTGTATATATGTGTATATGTGTGTATATATGTGTGTGTGTGTGTGTGTGTGTGTAATTTCATAAAAAATTTATAGACCTTAGTCATTTCAGGCTCCCAGTGAAGGTGAAATAGTAGCTGGAATTGTTCTTGGGAGTCTGATGACAGTGAGCCAAGGTGATTTTTAAGAAATGAAACCCAGTTCAGAGACTGGAGGTTTTTCTTTTTAAAACTTGCTATTAGTGTCAAAACTGTTATTACCATTAATTTACTGTATCAGCCAGACTAAGACATTACTTTTTTTCTGTTGACATTAAAAATACAGGAATAGTTACAAGGATGTTAAACACCAAGATAAGTAATTTTCTTTTCGTGAATATGCTATTATTATAGTAATTCTTTATTTGTAAATTTGGGACTGGAACTCATTTCTTAAAATAGAGGATCTGTGTTACCAGCAAATACGGTACTGATATAAACAACCCAAACTTGGAAAGGCACAAAATAGAAGGACTTAAGATACAAATTCTGGTACAATAAAATTGGTATGCAGCATAGTATGTAACTTACAGGGGGTATTCCATAAATGTTTCTGGGTTAAATAAATGTATGAATGAATGGATGTATGTGGAAGACTTATTCACAGAACCTCTGGCATCTGCAAAGGATATGTATGATAAAGCCTAAATCCCCCACCCCATATGTGTGTGTGTGTGTGTGTGTGTTACACAGATAATAAATAGATAGCCTTAGCCTTTTATTGCTTATGGTTTTAGGTACAAGAGTTGATTACAACATGGTGTTTGGTGGATCAAATTCAGTACTCAGATGTAGTGTGCTTTGCCCTCAACAATGTTTTAAAATTTATTTTAGGGAAAGCATGAGCTCTTGTTTGCCATAGTCACACCTCGCAACACTGCTCCTTCCCCCTTCCCTAACCTGACTCATACATTTATGCAGCTCATCTGGCCCCAGGGAACATTTGAATTTGCTCCTTGTGATATAGTCTTTTTTTTTTTTTTTTGAGACAGAGTTTTTTTTGCTCTTGTTACCCAGGCTAGAGTGCAATGGCATGATCTCGGCTCACTGCAACCTCCACCTCCTGGGTTCAAGCAATTCTCCTGCCTCAGTCTCCTAAGTAGCTGGGACTACAGGCGTGCACCAACATGCCCAGCTATTTTTTGTATTTTTAGTAGAGACGGGGTTTCACCATGTTGACCAGGATGGTCTCGATCTCTTGACCTCATGATCCACTCGCCTCGGCCTCCCAAAGTGCTGGGATTATAGGCGTGAGCCACTGCACCTGGCCTATATAGCCTTTTTTTAAAGCAGAGTCTCACTCCTGCCCATGCTGGAGTGTAGTGGCATGATCATGGCTCACTGTAACCTGGAACTCCTGGGCTCAAGAGACCCTCTTGCCTTGGCCTACCAAGGTGCTGGGTTTACAGGCATAAGCCACCATGCCTGGCCATAGTCTTTAAGTCTCACCAAGTGACCTCATTTTTCACATCAAGGATGGCAATATGAAATTGAAACCCTTGCACTCTGTCTGTGGGTAGAAAGTAGTGATGGTGATGATGATGGTGAAGAAGATGAAGATGATGCTATTGTCTAAAAGTTGTATAGCAGGTTGAATTGTTTTTTCAATGTCCTTGCACATTTATTCTACCCATTTTATTTATTTATTTATTCATTCATTTATTTTTGAGATGGAGTCTCACTCACTCTGTTGCTCAGGCTGGAGTGCAATGCTGTGATCTTGACTCACTATAACCTCCGCCTCCTGGCTTCAAGTGATTCTCCTGGCTCAGCCTCCCAAGTAGCTGGGTCTACAGGCATGTGCTACTACACACCTGGCTAATTTTTGCAATTTTAGTAGAGATGGTTTCACCATGTTGGCCAGACTGGTCTCAAATTCCTGACCTCAATTGATCCACATGCCTTGGCCTCCCCACACCCATTTTAATCACACAAGAACATAGTACTACAGCCATTTTATACAGAAAGATATAGATATAGACAAGGGCCTAAAAAATTAGAATATGAACCTTTCCCATGGTCTCACAGGATGAAGTCTGGGGCTAGTCTGTTTCTCCTGGTCATCCCTGTATCATTCACAATAGGAATGTCCACATGATGCAGTCATTTTGCTTCATTTTCCTTTGGTCAGGGTGTGTTGCTGTAGAGAAACTGAGGTCTACCAACATCCCTCTAAGGCCTGGAACAATGCCAGTTACCAGAATTGTACTTGTGACAAGGCCATCTACATTTATGATAGGCACTCTCAGCCCTCTACTCTACTCCTGTCTCTAGGCTTTCTCAGCAAGCGGAAAGTGTGGTGTCCATGGCTATATTAGTTAGCTTTTGGTGGGAACAGATTACCTTAAAACTTGGTGGCTTAAAATGACAAACATTTATTATCTCACAGTCTCTGAGGGTCAGGAATAAGGAAGCAGCCCAGATGTATGATTGTGACATGGTCTCTCATGAAGTTGTAGCCAAGATGTCAGCTGGTGGCCGGTTACAGTAGCTCATGCCTGTAATCCCAGCATTTTGGGAGGCCGAAGCAGGCAGATCACCTGAGGTCAGGAGTTCAAGACCAACCTGGCCAACATGGTGAAACCCTGTCTCTACTAAAAATACAAAAATCAGCCAGGCATGGTAGTGTACAGCTGTAATCCCAGCTACTTGGGAGGCTGAGGCAGGAGAATCGCTTGAACCTGGGCGGTAGATGGAAGTTGCAGTGAGTCAAGAACATACCACTGCACTCCAGCCTGGGGGACAAGAGTAAAACTCTGTCTCAAAAAAAATTGTGACAAATATATTCATAAACAT